CAGTGAGGCATCAGTATCAACACTGATGTCTTTGATGATGATGATGATGTATTGATACCAGTGGAACAGTTTCAACCAGATGTGATAGGTTCCAACGCGACTTGGCAGTGTAAGATCCATCCGAACATCTCTTCGGTGCGACCAAGTCCGGTATAATTGAGCGGTGTGGCATAAGCAAGACAATTCTTCGATCAAATGCGGTTTGTCTTAGACTCCTGGAGACCTCCATTGGTGTCATATTTATCCACCTATGTCCTATTGCTCTTTGTTATCCCACCGTGAATGGACTCGTGAGTACACAACCAGCAGGGCTTCGGTCGGATCAAGCAAATAACTTATGGCTTTCCAAACAATAAATTACGGGGAGAGAATGGAGTAGCATTTTTCCACCCATTAGTGTGCCGTACTGGACCTGTCATTCCAATCAATTTTCGGTTGATTTTAACAGGAGCTCATGACTCCAGGCTCTTCTGCTTTCTCCCCTTTCAATTGTGATACCCTATAGGTAACTTTAAGGAGTCACGAAGGGCTTAGTACCAGATCACCCAAGTAATTGAAATGTTCATAGTCACACCACTCTCATTTGAACGGTTATCCTCCTGTTCTGGCGTAGTTATTCCGATGAGTCCACATCAAAGGGAAGCACTAGGTTCGAGTTTCGCTCTTATTAGAGTTCATCAGCAGTGCATACCCAATGGCCGTGCCGGGATTTGAACCCCGGACATCTGACATGCGAGGCGAGCGTGTAAAACTACTCCACCAATGCACGTTGATGAACACATCTGAACTTTCATGTCTGAACAGGCGAACGTGTTCACACTTGAGCGATGTGATTCGTGTGCCCGAATCATCGAACGACGACCCAGTAACTCTCTTGGTTGTGACCATCGATTGACCCGTTAGTCAGGACTTCCCAGTCAGGTGGTGTGACACGTTTGAAACCCACTGGTCACTTTTTTGATTGCATTTTCGGGGTTTTGCGGGGTAGGTATTTGGTTCATAGTCACACCACTCTCGTTTGAACACTTGTCCTCCTGTTCTGGCGTAATTATTCCGGTGAGTCAAAGTCAATTGACCTTCCGGCCAGTGGTTTCGTGCCCTAATAACCGAGCTACTTCGAGTTTGTAAAATTACTGACCATGCTAATCCGCTTCACTGCTTCTATGTGCGCACCTCCACCACCTTCGTTTTGCCGAGGACTTTTATCCCTCCGCTTGTATAACTCCGTGCCCAGGGTGCAAGTTATTGGCCGAGAGTTTCTGAATAACCCGAGCGCGCATAATGCGCTGACAAGTCACGGGCATCCTTTCTTTTGACGCACTCTAGGTTATTAACACCGTACCACTTCCACTCTATTTTCCAAATGAGAATGCTTCCCTCACTCAACCTGGCCGCTTCTTTTCCTTTTAGGATATTGATGCTCTGAATTTTCGAACATACTTGAGTTTTTGTCATCCCAAGACATGCGTATGTGGACAAATGTAATTATTTACCCACGACCCTGATCCAAAGCTGTCGTCCAAAAAACCCCTGCAAAATGCCATTCACGGTTCCAGTTGAATATGTCCCTGCAAGATATCGATGCTGCAGCTGTTTCCATGTTAGGACGGGCACTTTCCTCCTGGCTGTGCTACAAATCGTCATTCATTTTGTAGTAATCACTATTCTCACCGCTGCTCTTGGTCGTGCCGCACATTTCAGGGAAGATGTCGAATATGTAGCGCTGAGCATCAGTGTGATGTCTTTCATACAATGGGAGCGTTTCGTTGGCACTCCGGAACGTCTGGGTGTTGTACCGAAAGAATCCATCCTTCCGGACAGAACTCAACATTTACCTCTGGAAAATCGCGGGACCGGTGAGTAAACCATCACGTCGCTAACACTTATTGGTTGCCAGAAGCCATGCCTTCCGCAACCAAACGCCCTTACGTCCGCACCGGAAAGTTCTTCATTAACGCTGGCGAGGAGTATGTCGCCATTGCGGTGACACTTCTTTCTCTGTTGTTCAGCATAATGATGTTGGTTGGAACAATCTATGCCAAACCTTACTACTTGCTTCCGTACTGTTGTGTGCAAGTGGGTTGAAGCCTTGACCTTACAATCGTGTTTACTTTGTTAGTTTGTAGATTTGTTTGTAACCTGTCTGTCGGTCGTAGGCTATTATACCTATCTACCTGAAAGCAGTACTTGGGCTCGGTCGCAGGTGAGTCGGTAGTGTTGCTTATTTGTGTTCGGTGAGCTTTGGCCACACCGTTGTTGGAGTTTGTTCTGATGCCAATGGCTTGCATGATAACAAAACCAGCGCTCTCGTCATTATTGAAGCTGACAAGATCAAAGCTGGTTGTGTTGACTGCAGTCTATCTACCGTTGGTGCTTTGCACACCAACAGTTTAAATGCCTTGTCAATCTACTGTGATGGTTTGACTATGGTCCTCCTGATTATACTTGTGCTTTCCATGGTGGCAACCCTTCAGTTCATTGTCGACCTCATTCACATCCAAGCCTAACGTTTCCTTCGAATGTGTTAAATGCCTGAGTTAGGGCTTTTCAGTCACCCTGGATACGTCGCATGCTGTCTCTAAGCTTTCAGCGACTTCCCTTGGTGTCACAACCGTACGCTCAAAACCGGATTCGTTCATATATATTAATACCTTTGTTCGTTTTTTGACCCCCCTCCCTCCCGAATTAGGCTCAAAATAAGAACCATGACTCGTATTCACCACTCAGTCTACTCAGGTTGCTTGCTGAAACTGATGAGCGATTCCGTCTATACCAGAACATATAGGCTACATATAGCGCCGTTAGCCCATACACACCCGTTTGTTTCTTCATTCCTTCAGTAGCGGAATATATTTATATAATATATATCACGATCCTGATTTCCGAGGTATTTCGTGGGTTGCGTCCGTTGTCACATATTATTACGCCCTCCGTGATGCTTGTCTATTTATCTGTTTATCTACCTTTCTCTCATTACAAGCTGGTCCTTAGTCTGGTCGTCATACTTGCCGGGATTCTGCTGCTTGCAGTGAAGGCTTATATGCTGGCAATGGTTTGGCTGTGCTACAAATTTCTGCTACGCTTCACGACTGGACGTGAACCGGTGTCTGGATTTTCCTTGGCCGCTGGATCTTGTTGTTTGCCTTTGTCACTCTGCGAGCGTATGGGTTGCGTACAATACACCTCAGCGGAGTCGTGTACGCTAACGCCTTCAGTGTTTGCCCGGGATGGCCGAATTCCCTCTGTAAACGTGAGCCAATCTCAAACTAGTGAGTTACCTTGTTTTAACTTTTCAAAATACCGTGTGTGTCATGGGACTCATTTCCACTTTCTTCTCAGCACTTGCGCTAGATATTGATGCAGGGTAGTTCTAAACTAATAGGTTTTGGACTCTCGCGTTTTCGGTTGTGCGACGGGTACTTCCATTGAAGAATGTGTGTGTCACTCATTTCCACTTTCTTCTCAGCACTTGCGCTAGATATTGATGCAGGGTAGTTCTAAACTAATAGGTTTTGGACTCTCGCCTCGCGGGTTGTGCGACGGGTACTTCCATTGAAGAATGTGTCCAGCACAGAAGCTCCGTTGGTTGGGACATGTGTTGCGAATGCCGAACCATCGTTTGTCGAAGAGAGT